TGGACTTGATCTTTGAAGTCTTTTCCAGCCTGTGATTTTTGTCAAACACACCAGTGTATCTAAGCTTGCATTTTGAAGTTTTTATTATGTAATAGCAAGGGGTTTGTCTGCATTTTGGTTTTAGTCTTGTCATTTTTGGAAACCATTAAAATAGTGAAGAGGCTGAATTCCTTCAAAATCAAATTCTCCAATCTCTCCCTCAGTTCAAATATGGAAACTTGATAAACTTAGTACTGTTCTTTTCAGGTTATGATCAGTAACTCAATAATGCTGGGTGCTTGTGCTTCAGATAAAGGCTTTTTCATTTAAATCAGGAGAAAAAAAACCTGACTTCTATGCAGTCTGTTTATTAAATTTAACACTTGAATGTGAACCATTATTGTTATTTAGTTCATATTTTGGAGCAGTATGTCTATGAGCTCCCAAAAAATACTCAGCTGCTTCCGTCTAAAAAGCCAGAACTTGGAAACCTCTGCCTGAAGTAAATGGTTCAGCAATGTGTTGGTGAAATAAGACATTTTAAATTCCTTTTATTAGGTGATATAAAGCCGTTCAAGTGCTACATGATAACTGTGTACCCTCTGTATGCTGATGGTCAGGGAAGTGGACAGTCTGTGAAGGCTTATCTTCAGCAAGACCGTAAGTAGAAAATTGTCATGTTGGAGCACATAAACTGATCTCCTTGAGTAAAAACAGCAAGACCTTTGCTTTACTGTGCTCTGCCCAATGAAAAATCATCTTTATACTTGAGGGTCACGTGATATAACTGATGTTCTGTTAACATCCATTCTGCTTGTTTACAGATTTAGGAGTTAAACAGTTGTCTGTGCCTGGCTCTTTCTGGTTTTGTCACCTTTATCAGATGAGTTTGTTATTTTGCTGATACAGCAATATTTATATGCTGTTTTATTTCAAGTATAAAACCTCAAATAATTAACTCCAGTTGAAGGCTTCACTTGATATGCTGATAATTCTTTTTCATATCTATTTTCCTGAAGATTTCTTTTTTAAAACATCTCTTTAGTTTTTATGCTCTCTTGTTAATACACTGCTGCTGTGGATGCGGGAGTGCCAAACAGAAACTAACCTTCATCTCCCATTACAGGTCCTTCAAAAGGACCTACCATTCAGACAAAAAAGGTAGGAAAAGCTGAAGCTGTTTTGACATGGAACCATCTCACAGTGGAAGAACAAAATGGATTTATCAGAAGTTACACCATATTTTACAAAACTGTTGATGGAAATGAAACAGGTATTGGAAAGCAGACAAGTGCTTTGTGGCATTGAAGTGTTTTCATCTGTCTCTTTTCTAATCTTTGTTCCTAAAAAAAGATACAGAACCAAGTGTGGCTGACAGTCTCTTCTGATAACACAAAGCTGATGTCTGAGGCATGGTTTGCCTCCATATGGAACAGGCAAGTTCCTAGTAAAGAATTCAGAACATTCAGTCTGTGAATAGCAGAGTATTGAGAGCTTAATTTGGGAATTGTGCTCCCATTTTTCTCTCTAAATACAGAATGAGATGGTGTTATGTCAAGATGACACTAGACCATTCAAGATACAAAAGGAAGCTACAGATCAAGGTGGTACTGATGTACTTGTTTGAAGTGCATCTTAGTTTTCAGTGTTGTTTATGCCCTGCAGGCGTAAGATGGGGTGCTAGCATTACCAAAATTTTCTTTTTCAGATTTGCTTAAATTGGAAAGGCCAAGTACTTAGGCACATCCTATGTCTTATTATTTCTAACTGTACTTTTTTCTAGTTAGTAACTAGCTATTCCGAGTTCACTGTGTGTTTGGCTTACTAGACACCTTTAACTAGTTTAGTTTGTAGGTGCATTCTGGGGAAAAAAATGCCACAGGAAATTAAATACAAAATATCATCAAGTGACTAAGTTGAAACACTTAAACAGAAACATATCAATCTCAGCATTTCTTGTACAAGTTTGTAGTGTTTTTGTCTTGTACTTTCTATACAGCCACGCGTTCTACTAAGGCTGCCTTGTGCATCTGAATGCTGCTGTTTTTGTGGAGGTCTAATAAACGTTACAGAAAACCAGTATAAATTTTTTCCTCTGTTTAGCTGTGACAGTGGATCCTTCCAAGACAGAGTACACCCTTTCTCCTCTAACCAGTGACACACTGTATACTGTGCGGATGATGGCGTCCACAGATGAAGGAGGCAGGACTGGTCCTGATTTCACATTTACTACACAAAAATTTGGTAAGGAATAGTGGCACGATTGTGTGAATTGAAGAAGTGGCAAGTACGGTTGCAACAGTACGGCAGAGCTCTGTGCAAGATCTGATAGGAGGGGAAGGTGATTTTACTTAGTTTTGGTTAAGGTTAACTTGCAGTGTGCATCATACCCAGGTAGCTTGTCCAGTGCCCAGTGACAAAGGTCGTTCAGTCAGGATTTTTCTGATTGTATTATAACAAGCTGTTCTCTGCAGGTCTCCTGAAAATTGCTCTTTTATCCTGTCAAATATGCTGGTTTGGGTGTGTTATGTGTATACAATTGGTTATAGTACTCTTTTGCCCTGATACTTAATGAGTCATAAGGAGTTACTCAATGCCCTTGTCTCTTCTGGTGTCCAGTGGTATCTAGCCAGGTCAGTCTTTGTTTTAATCTGAAGGTAGGTTGGCCTTTATTAGCCTGTTACAGCTGTCCTGAGAAGCTGAAGAGAGGTGTGCTGGAATCTTGATCTGCTGATCCAGGTGCTAGTCAGCACATGCCATTCTTGCAGCCCTTCCTCAGGTTCTACATTCTCTTTCATATCATGATTAGTTTGCTACAGTTCTCTACAGAGACTCATTTTGAATAGTTAAATTTATTGTGTGCTCAGCTTTAGAGTGCTTCTTATTTGTAATGGTAAGAGCAACATTAACTGAATCTAGTTGTGCAGGAGATCTATTTAGATTTATCAGAAGGGGTTTTTTTTCTGTATAGTGCTGCTCTTCCTTAAGCATTCTCTAAGGTTTACTTAAGAATGTGTGCAGCATTGGAAGGAGTACATAGCAGTCATGCAAACTTGAGTGTTGGCAGGCAGAAGATATTTTTGTGTACACAGTAAACTGATGGATGACTAACGACTTTGCTTACATTACTTAGTTGTCCATGACCGTATTATGGCAGCCAGCAGGCCACTGAAATGCCTGGATGGCAGATCAACTGATAGCTTCCAGATCAAACCATGTTTTTTGATGCAGGATATTAGACTGTTGTGACAGAGCTTTCCACGTTTTCACCAACAGGCTGTTTTCATATGGTGAAAAGGTTCTTCTGGACATGAAGCTTAAGACTGAGCGTTGAAGGTGTATTCAGTTTCAGGTTCTCCCTGACCCTCTGGGAGCTTGTGCTGCTGCTGAGTTCCTTAAATACCCAAGTGGGCTATAATTGCTTCTCTTCATTTTCTTCAGGGAAAGGAGAGATTGAAGCCATAGTAGTACCTGTGT